ATGTCACACCATCGTCGATGTCTGAGTCTCTCAGACACTTACTCTTATTTACTTTCAAAATAACGATTTCAATTTAATTAAAAATTGTTTTCATTTGTTTTCTATGTTCTATATTATAAATCATTCGATATTACAAACTTACAAAATGACAAAGTTTGATTCGTGTATAGTCTTCACATTTCAAAGTTTACTTATCTTGTTGAATGATTCATATCATAGTATAATATTGAGAATTTTCTTTTCTTTTAACTAAAACCTCGCGGATTTTGGCAGTATAACGATTGTTACGCAATAGCCTTGATACTTATCAAGCTGATTTTTACATGTGTTGTGTTATCTTATGCTATCAAAGAAAAAATGATTTACATCCTGTACTCATAAAACCGATATTGATAGAGAAGATGTTATGAATGTAAATTTGTGTGTGAACGCAAGACTTTCATCTCTCTTGACTCATTCCACATCTACATCCTGGTCTTTCTTAGAATATTGTTGTTGCAAAAAAGTACACAATAGAGATATCTTTTAATAACTGATAAAAATTATTTTAATTGTTTTACTTTTTTTCGTGATTGTAATTGATAAGTAGTTCTGTCCATAACACAGAGTCAGATATGAGCGTTGGTTTGGTTGTTCTCTATATTCACTCTCACATCCTAAAAAGATAATAAGCATAGAGAGAGTAAATTTTCAAAAGACTCTTGAATATGTTCTATGGTTTCATGGCATGTGTTGTGTAATAAAAACAAATTCTATCGTTGAAACCGTACATGTAGAGAGAATATCAAACATGGTAAATTTTTTCTAGTTGTACATGCTTTAAATTTCAATGTTGCACGTTTATTGATGATCATTTTCTCAAGGAATCCTGGAGCAATAAAATCATGAATGGCTTTCATAATAGTAAATTTTGATAAAGCAATTGCCAAATATTTTCAGGCAGTTCCATTGGTTTCAATTGGTTCAAGGATTTGCAACGAACATATGATTTTATTTTCTTGTTAAAATATCACTACTTAGAATATTTTAATAATCTTGAACTTTGATTTTTTTAGTGTATGAGGAATTTGACTAGAACATATAGGTCAAGATGTTAAAGGTAAACTCACATTCACACGTATCTCTGACAAGTATTCCTGATGAAGGAGAATGAACTACTGATTGACTTGCTAGGTTAGAAAAATAGCTGATTGAAATCGAAGTTTCAAACTGTAGAAAATATGACTATTTCATTTTGAGATATTAGCCTAGTTTTTATGGAACAATGATTAAAATTTATACTCATTTGATAAGAACGAAGAAATGTTTTACAGAACTCTGACTATCTTATTTTATTAGAGAAGATGAATTATTACGATGTTCGAATGAATTTAAAAAATTTATTATTTTTTGTAAGTTATAAAAAAGAATTTTTCTACTAAACTCTAAGAGTATTTATAAAATAAAAAAAAAAATCGTAAATAAAATTACACTCGATTTGTAGAATCTTTAGTATTATTATCATTTGTACTTTGCTTTTCATTCATAGGCACTACAACATTATTTGCTCTGTCTGAATTATTTTCACAACATCGCCGACAACATCTTGCAATGGGTTCAGGTCCACCGATTAATAAATGACGTAAACCTACTATAATAGGTTTTTCTGCTTGTATTCTTCCTGCTGCTATTCCATATTGTCCAGAAACAGGCATCCACCACAGCCAACCATCGTCTCGTAAATTTGCCCATAAATAAAAAACAGCACCAACAAAATAAGTAATATCACCGTTAACATAAAGGTTATTTAAACCATAATCTTCTGGATTTTGTAATATTTGAATATTATAGGTTATATAGATAAATGAACTTAATGTTGTAAATGTATATGCTACTGTATCGGGATCATCAAATGTATAACCACGACCAATCGTACGTGTATATGTTCGATACCAAGACATAATCCTAAATAAAAGGAAAAAAAAACCATTGAATTATTCTTTATTGAAATTCAATTTACCATCCGAATGATGCAAATAATTCAACAAATGCTGCAACTGTTTCAACTATATGAATTATTGATTCATAATAACCAGAAGAATCATTTGCTGCTGTACCATACCATGTAGCAGCCCATAAATATAAAGCTGCTTCAATATGATTTAAATATTCAGGTATCATAATAACATCATTCCAACGATGATCTATTTCATGAAAGATAATTAATTAAAAAAAGAAAAATATATTTATTTACCTCTCCATGCCCACCAATACAATGCAGCAGAAACAACATGTAGTACTCCTAAGCCTAAAACACAAATTAAATTTGAATATAAGAATTGTTCATGATTAATATCATCACTTAATACGAAGAAGAACCAGCCAGAGATGGGATCGGTTCACGTTTTTTGAAACCGAATCGAAACAATTTCATCTCTGGAATCAGCAGATATGATGACTATCAATAAACAGAGTTGGACACAGGATAGGTCTTGTGCCAAGTTCTGTTTTGTATATTTTCTTTTTCTTTGTGTCAGTTTTTTTTTATCAAGTACTTTTTCATTTTTCTATTGGTTTTTTTTTCTTAATAGTATCCATTATATGTTAAGATAATGATGATAAAACTCCAAAAGTTCATTTTATTAATATTTTGTTTTCTATGATTAGTGTATCATTAAAATAATAAATCAAGATGTTTCTTATATTTTCTTGTATTTATATTATTAATCATTATTGAAAATTTTAGTTGTTATATTCGAAAATGATACAAAATAAACTTGCTATAAGATAACTAATAATAAACTAATATGTACATTGATGACTGAAAGTCACACCGAAGATTCTTACTATCCTGTCCTGTCGCCCACTAGGACGAAGTAAGGTAGTAGGATAGGACACGATAGAAAAGTTGTCCTGTGCCTAGCTCTGCCATCAAACTTATTAATCTTATTAGTTTTATTTTACCGCATTATTTTATCTCGTTACACAGATCAGTCAAAATATCGTAGGATTAAATCAACTGGAGTTCATCGATGCATTTTTATCTACATTAATATTAAAATAGTACGATTTCATTTAAATAAAAAATAAATACGAATGATTTGCATTGTTTCAATTCATAAACGTTAAAAACCTATAACTCACTTATAAGTCTTTATGTTACTCTAAAAAATAATCGAGAAAAAGATATTATAAATACACGAAAAACTGGAAGAAAACTATTACTGTTTGTCTTTTTATAATAAATATCTGTTTCAATTTAAAATGTTCAAAAAGCATGAATCAGTGATCAGAGACAGTTTAAACCGAGATACATTCAATGTCACTTACGTTGAAATAGAATCAGTTATAATTATTCAAGAAAGAACAACAGACTGTAAAATCCTTGAAGATCTCTGTTTTTTCTTTGCAATGATTTGTAAGCACGTAATAGAGAAAAAAGAAGAATACTTCTTTACTAATTCTATCTATAATATAGTTCTATCCACTAACTTTTGTTACAAACAACGATTATTCGAATGCAATTGAAAATTTTAAGAGTACAATAGCATTAGCATCATCTGTTTCAATGATTCGTTATACATAATAACTATCTCATATCTTACAAAAATCTATATTAGAAAATGAAAAAACAGAGGGCTTTGACAATATCATTTGTGAACTATTCCATAAATGCTTTTTCGATATTGTGATTATTATTACTCACCAATATACATATTATTGACTATAACTGTATAGTCTACCCCTCCTTCTTCTTTGGTGCTATTGTCGACAGTCATATTGTCACAGGGGCCCGGTTCTTCAGGTGCTCCTGCTCCACCATTGATTGCTGGTGCAAAATCGACAAGAAGAATACCAATAGCATAGATCTAATTACAATTTGTTACAATAAAAATCAAATTTAATTAAATATTTACTTACAAGATAAACAATATTAGCAAAAAAGTATCGATTCTGAGCTGTTTTTCTTGCACATATTGGAATACGTTTTCTAATTTGTTTCCATGTTAAAGCTTGCCATAAAGAATCAAATGCTTCTAATTCATTAAATGGTGCTGTTGGATCATTTTCTTCATCATCAGCCATTGAAAAAATTATTATTTATCAGAAAATAAACATTGATTTCTATATTTTGATTAAATATGTTAGTAAATGTCAAAAAATGATAAGCATAGAAGTATGTTACCTGATCCAAAAGGTTATTATAATCAGTGAAGTAACCGAAACAGTATTCTGATTTTTTCGTAAAGTATTTTCGCTATTTAAATCAATTGAAAGATTTTATCATTTATTACATTGATTTATATCATAAAAAGGAATATAGTATTCTTTTGAAGTTAAGTAGTTGTTACCTCTTACTTTTACTCTGCTTTTTTTATGGAGTTGTAGAAGAGAACGCCAATGATTATCTGGTTTATAATATGGGTACTACTTTATAATATGGGTACTGCTTTATTTCGATTTCTTCAATCTTATCAATGTACTTTTTCAATAGTTGATGTCTTGGATAATAATATGCACTCGAAATCACCAATGGTTTTATACTGAACAATAAAATTTCTTTTGTCAACATTTACGATTTTTTCAATAGATTATCTCACAAAGTCTTTTTCTTACACACAAGATTATTTTCTTATCTTTATTAATTTGATAATTTGGCTTCGTTTTCATTAGAAATTTAGACTTGGAATGTAACTGGTCTAATTAGGTCTCTGGTTTTTTTTGGGAATGACAACAAAAGTAGATTCAACTTGTAGTTATTCTACATCTTTTATTGCTTTTTATGAAACACGATTCAATATTAATGTTGATGTTAAAGAATAAACATTTAGACTTCGTCTCGTACAGACTGTGATAGACGTTGCTGATTTATGATCAGAGGCCGTATATAGATAATATCTCGTTATGATATATGAAGAATAAAACAGTTTCCTCGTAATTAGCACTAGCAGCTACATAGTGTTTCACATTCTAATCCTGTGAGCACTATGCTAACAACTTTTCTAATCAAATCGATTTCGAGTTGATCATTTGCAGTGATAGTCGTAGTTATCTTGTACAATAGAAATATCAGTCGAGGCAAACGACCTTATTTTTTTAAGCTAAGAGTGTACTTTGTGGACGAAAAGGTGCGACCTCTTTCCTCTGTTCTCCAAAATCTGTCCGCAATACGTCTTCTACTTGTAAAATTTTCGTTCAATAGTAGTAAAATAAAAACTATTGGTATTGCATCCATGCACAGAGTTGTCGAATTGTTTCTAAATAGTAACTGTAGCAAAATTTTTTTCTCTCATTTAGCGTAATGGAAACCATAAGTTTTCTTAATTTATTAACTATATTTGATTGGCTTTAGAGCCTTATTGCAAATCCTTGTGAGTTTTAAACTAAAAACAGAAGTTAGGTTTTTTAAATTTTGTCTTAGCCATCTGCAAAATGTCTGCCTGTCCGATTGGATGAAAATGGTGAAGAACCATCAAAAGGTCAAATGGGTTGATCTTCGATTTTGCAAATAGTATACATTTATCAGTGTAGAATGAGACGAAGGATTGTTTGATGGCAGATTCAATTCATTTAGAAAACGTTTTAAAGATCTCCAACGTCAATTGCTAGACTATATTTTTATCCAATTTCTCCCTAATCATACGATTGTATTTTGAGAAAAAAATTAAATCACAAAGCAAATGTTGATTAGACGATAGATACTTTCATTTGAAAGAGCGCAGTGCGATACACAAATCCATTTTTGAGTCATTCAGAAAGTACAGATATTAACTGAACATATGATGAACAAATAGTACTTGTATCAATATTTTGAGATATACCATTGAATTTCAAACTTCGAAAGTGCTCCTGAAAGGATTTGAAAATCGAGTTTCCTTGTTAGAGTTTGATAGTATGTTTTTCGAGTTACAGGCAGACAGATTCCACTTTTCTTTATCTAGTTTAGTTAGTTGACATATCTCATGTCTCTAATTTTGATTGATGATGAACTTTTTCAAATGTTTCAATGTTGTTTGTACATGTTTCAATTAGATAGGAGGCATCAGACGAAATTTATATTTAGTGAAATGATAAAAATGATAATCGAATCAAGTTAATATGGCCTAAGAAGATGAAGCATACGAGTTCTCGTCACTATTATTGTCTTCTGAAACACATTTATCATCACCACTTTCTTCAATATGCAAGAATTGAATGCAGTCCAATAAAATGAAAAAGCAAATTGATGGTGCTGAATGTGATGATCAGAAGGATTTATTTCACCGCGACAGACACTTAGATACCAGATAACAGAACAACTGCATAACCATTCTTCCATAGGTTTATCTCAATCATGGTCGTTGAATTGCATAATGGTTCCACACATGTTGCGATTTATATGTCTTCAAGTAAAGTTTATTCGAACCATATCGCTATGTTCCCAACAAACTTCAACAATCAATTCAAATTGATGATCATTGAGAATAAATTTAAGATCTTCGATAATATAGCTTTCACACTGCTGTATTTAGTAGTTATCTATGTTAAACGATATTTTCAAATGTTATCATCCAGAATCAGTCATTAATGAACAAAAAACTGATATTGTGCACATCCTGTTTAGTCAGCTGAACATTTGACTATTTGCACATCTTACTTATTCAAATGCCATCAGTTCTCATTTTGATTAATCTATTACAGACGCTTTTACAATGGATTTTATCTCTCGCGAGACATTAGCATTCAAATTATCCACCTTTTCCTGTTTGCTATCTCGGTTGTGTTGCTCTTTCGATAGACGGTAATACATCCTTCGACGAGGTTTACGTACTTACCTACAAAAGAAATATTTGAACTTTGAATAAATTATCTGAGATAATACTATGATTTGAATTCTATTCAACATTTATAATGAAATATTCAAATCGAAAAAAATTCGTAGAAAAAAAAAATCTCTTTGCAATATCCGTCCAGCACCTGTTAACAACACCAAGAGAATAATCAACATAAAAAAAAAATTTGTTAATCATGAGAAGTAAAGACATGATATATCTTAACTCATTATGTACATGGACTGAAAAGAACTGTATGAATGATTCTCAAGTTTGATAACCAACATATCACATTTCTTTCAGGAACGATATCGCATATAAATGACAATTCTAGATAGTATTCCGTTTCGGAAATTTTTATTTAGACCAATCAATGAAACCTAAAGCATATTCATGTTTAGCCTGTAGAAAACTGTACCGATCCGTAAAAAGAAAACTCCATAATCAAACTGTTTCAGGAGCACTTTCGAAGCTTGAAACTTCATGATATACTTCAGAATATCGATGTAAGTACTATTTGTTCATTTATATGTTCAGCTAATATCTGCTCCTTCTGGATGGTTCAAATATATATTTGTACAGCGTTGGAAACTATAAAAAAAACGTTTCCTAAATGGATTGAGTTTGTCATCAGACGATTTTTTGTTTCATTCTGCATCGATATATATACGTACTCGTTTTGAAAAGTTGAATATGCATCGATTCGTCCTTTTATATGTGCTTGTTCTTTGACAGTGTTGTTAAAGTAGTATAAAAACTCTCTTGTACTTTCTTCCTTCAAACATAAACCATATTATGTTTTCTTTTTTTAGCTATGACAACAGTTAAGACTTAGGAGGACTATTGAAAAAAGAGAGTCTCTTTGAGAGATTTATCTCAAAAATTCGAACAAAAACTCTTTTAAATGAATAAAAAAATATGGTTTGCATCGAGAGAAAGATTACGTGTTTTTATGTTATAAACATAAGGTCCATTATTTACTTGATTAACTCTTCTATCATTCAATAACAATGTCATAAAAAAAAAGCACATAGTCAATAAAAAAGAAAACTTAGAATACAATAAAGAAAGATGATCGTGTTTCTTTTATTATGAGAAATGAAATTGATTTCGTAATAATCGTTCAGCAAGTTTTGATTTTTCTGCATAATTATTAATCCAAATATTCAATAACTTTTCTACACATTGAAGTGTTAATGGTTCACCTGCATGTGAATTGAGTAAATGAAGAAGAAAAACTCCATCACGTTCTAACCAATAAACAAAATCTTGTCGACGATTAACATTCATTAATATATCATTTTCTCTTCTATCATCTGTTGTTGTAATGTTGAATGAATCTTGAGATATTGGTACAACAGGTGAAGATGTTTGCTGTTCTCTAGCTTGAACATCAATTAACATATCATATTCTCCTCTATCATTTGTTGTTGTAATTTTTATTGAATTTGGTGACATTGGTGTCGCAGGTGAAAATGTGTGTTGTTTTTTAGCTTGAATTAAACGAATACATTTTTTAATAAAACGATCACGAGCAAAAAATGGAACATAATTATAAAATGAATAAATAAATGAAATAATTGATATTATAAAAAGTATATTAAACCAAACCCACATAGCAAAATAAGCTTTTTCATAGAATATATTTATTAATAATATACACTAAAGAAAAAAAAGAAAAAACAATCATATTTATAAAATTTTAATATTTTTTTTTTTTTGTTAATACATACTTCAATTGTATAATAATGATCTTGACCTAATTCTCGTATATGAAAATCACATAGAGTTACAAATGGAAATAATTGTTGATGTTTATGTGATAATTCGCTTATACGTTCGCGAATTGATGAATGAAATACGTATTTCATAGTATCAAAACCAAATTGATAAAATCCATATGTTCCTGTTGATAAAATAACATTTAATATAAGTACTTGTAAAATAATATTAATAATATAAAGTAATTTAATAAGAAGATAAAGTGTAACAAGATAGTATGTATGATATCGAACACGAAATGAAATATTTGGTAAAAGAAGAGGTGTAGAAGCATGATCAAGACTTTCATTAACATTATGACGAAATAATAATTTTTTTTTACATTGTGCTAATTGTCTACACATTAAATAACGTTCAATTTCTTTTGCAATTCGTCCACTTATTTCAGGTTTATCATCAAATTTTTTTCCTTGATTAACCATTAAACCTGGATTTAAACCATTTCGTTTATAAAAACCTACCCAAATTAAATGTGGTAATAAAAAGAAAAAAGCTTGAATTAAATAAACAAATGGTAACCATTGATAATAACGAAGTGTATGTTGTAAACGTTCATTTTTATTCATTGGTAATCTTGTATAAGTTTGAGGATAAAAATATGTATTATTTAACCAACATAAAGTACGTGCAAATGATGTATAACCTTCAGTAAATTGAGCTGGTTGAATACAATGAATTGGTTCAGCATAATATTGAAGAGTTGTTGATGCAACTGCAGATATAATTAATATAGTAAATGTTATTTGATAATGAATTTGATCGGATAAAAAATCATTATTTGTATCAATTTTAATAAGACCACGACTTAATTTTAATATTGTATCAGCCATGATCTAAAATAAAAATGTCAATTAAAAAAATTTTCGTGATGAATCGATACTACAATAAATTTGAATATAAATGTCAATATAATGCTCGCTTGAATATAAGTTTCTAGTTAGTAATAGGCATATAAATGTGTGCGCATGTATTCGTTCTTTTACTAGTCATAGGTTGTCCTTCAATGTAACACACACACACACATCATTGGTGATTTGATAATAGTCATAGTGATGCCTTCGAGTTGTAATCACATGTATAAAGACACAATGTCAATAGTTTTACGATAGATTGACATTTGAACGGCTGTTCTGTCTTATGCATCTCTGCTTTTTATGTATTCCTAAACAGTATGATGAATAATAAGATTCTCCTTTTTCTTTGCTTTACATTTTTTTTTCGTGCCAGTTCTCTTCTATTTTTCTGTACTCATTGATGTGCTATTGAGAATTGACAAGAAAAAAGCAAATGGTGGCAATGTATAATTACATAATACATGGGCTTTTTCTCTTTTTCTTCTCGAGAAGCAATGATGATCGATTGACGGTAGTTGTACAGAAAGTATGCTGCCGCGTTTACTCCTTTCTCTTACCCTTTTCTTTTTTCTTCTTTTACATCGTCTCGAGCTGATCGTCCGCAGAACAAAAGAGAGCATAGGACTAGAGGTGTCTTATCAGTAATTATAAGTATAATGTATCGAAAGAAACCATGCGGTGCGTGAAAGTAACATAAACAAAGAAAAAAACCAAACATTGGCTACGTGAAGAAAACATTTACAAAATCTGTTGCTGATATTCATCTTTTTTTCTTCAGCAAAAGAAAAAAAACAAATATTTGCAACTATGAACGAAAAAAGTGCTTGAATCTGATACCAGAAAGAACATTTTTAATGTATTATTCATAAGAAAAAATTTATATTTATAATTTTAACTGAATTTCTCTAAGCTTTATTTAAAATGTAAACTTATTCAAAGACGAGAAAATTAACAGATTTTGTTTTTTTTTTCATCATATATATTGAAGTAGTTTGGAAAAGATTCAGCGATTGCATTAGGTAATTTAACTCAACAACAATAAGCACCAGATTAAAATAAATAAAACATTCAATCATTTTAGAACCGTGTAGTACAATGCTGGCCAAAAGTCTCGACTCTTCCATGAACTGCAATTATTATAAGAGTTAGACAGTTGAAATTTTCTTTTTTTAGATTTATTCTAAAATAAGTACTGATCACCGATGTCATTCACACAAAAATTACTTGAATCAAAGTCGAATTATAATAAGTAGGAGTTATACTCCTTATGAATCTTTTAATTTGAGAAGAGAAAGATTTTTTAACTTCTCTATGACTTTATCATGTAGTAATTTATTTCAGTTATTTGTAGTATAAATTTCATTGAGTCATTGAAGAATTATGATCATTTTATTGTAATTATTGATGTAGAGGAAAACTGTGTACAATCATTGTGATATCCATAAATCAGTAAAATTATAATGGATCCATCTGAAAATTTCAAAAGTAAATTGATTACTATTGAGTTACTGTCAAGATTCGAGAAAGTCCAATTCTCAAGCAAATATATTTATATTTTTAGTAAAGAAACATCATATGTAAGGCTTTATTTTCATACGAAAAAATCAATAATTACTGATGTGTTTGAGAAAGTACAGCGAAGTGTTTTATAGGCACCCTTTTCTGATGTTCTCAGCAAAAATAGAAATATATACACGTATATTCTTTTTGAAAAAGATATATCTTTCAAACAATACCATTATTAATTTGACTATGACATATTTGAATATATCGGCGAAGAACTTTATTACAAATATTAGCAATTCTAAGCCGACTCTGTCTTTGTCCAGCACAGACAGTTGAATTTTTTTGTTCGATAAAGGTTGTGAACGAGCTGAAAATATTTTACTAGTGACATGTTGTCAAATGACATCATTTTTTATTTATTGTTGCTGAAAACATTAGAAAAAGGGTACCTATAGAACCTTTCGCTATATTTTCTTAAACACATCGATAATTATCGATTGTTTCATATGAAAAAAAGCCTTAAGAGCTGGATTTCATAGAGTCTTGACAATAACTTAATAGTTATCAATGTGCTGTTCCTTTCGACTACAATGTTTACTTTTGAAACTTTCAGATGGATCTGTTAGACTTTTACTGAGCTATAAGTCTTACAATGATTTTACATGGCTTTTCTCTATATCAATAATTACAGTAAAATAATCATAATTTTTCAACGATTCAATGAACTTCAATGAAATTTATACTGCAGATATCTGAAATAAATTACTACATTATAAGATCATGGTCAAGTCAAATGGTCATCATCACATATTTAAATCAATTTGACATCATCACATATTTAAATTTGAATGATATTGTACATTCCTAAATTCAATGATCTACATTTCGATTTTCATGATTTTTTCAAACTGAGTTCCTTTTCTATTAAAATCAGAAATAATTCCCATTTTCTGCTTTTATATTTTTTGTATATGTCAATTTTATCTTTTTGATTTTTGAATTTATTTTGTCCGATGAAATACGTGGTCGACCACTACTTGTTTGTAAATTAGATAGATCTTCATTATTCTCGCATCGACCAAGACAATATCATACGGTCTTTGGGGAGAACAATTTACGTGTTTCCATATGACTTTCTTTGACATTTGAGGATCTAGTAGATAATATTGAAGAAATACGATTTTATAACATTGTGATAAAGAAAGAAATTTGGTGCAATCTTATGAAAAAATGAAAGAAGAATGATACTGTAATATTCATTCATATTCTAAAGATAACTGTTGATCTCATAAAATTGGATTATTTCGATCAACAAATAATACACAAGAGAGGAAAACAACTTTTATAAAGAAAATATCTTCACTTGATAGTAAACTCCGTATGAAATATGGCTGTATAAAAATAAAGAGAAGAACAGGGGAGAAAAAGACTTTTGTCGACGAGTGTAACTGGAAAAACAAAGATAAATCACTGAATAAAAATAGAGAAGTTCGACAAGCAAACTGTGTTTTAGATGTATGAAAAAAAAACCAATCGAAACGTATCACTTCCTAAAATCATTCATTCTATTAACTTTAAAAAGTTTAAATTGAAAATAAAAAGTCTTATTCATTCATTTCTCTTTTAAAAAATTAAAATTATAAAAAAAAAATCTTTTTATCAACTATGCCTTATCTATATTCTTATTTGTGTTTTATTATTCATTACTGATTCACTTTATTGATTCCTATTCATTCATTACTTATATTCAAAAAGTTAAAATAAAACTAAAAACAATAGAAATTATTTATTTATTATAGATCATATTTATTTTTCGCATGCATTATTTCAGTTTATTAATCATTGCTAATTCGCTATTATTTGTTAAGTTCACCATCAAGCTATTCAATTCTTCCAATGTTGCTGAAAGAAATAATAACACATCTGTCTTCATCATCATTGAGACAATATGAGTATGTGAAGTACATTAGAGCTCTTATGTAATCTAAGCTGAATTCGATTTCGTTTTAAATTACAAAAAAAAAATACATCCATTATATCACAAGAATATAATCTGATTGTTCTAGGCTCTATTCAAAGATCGAATCAGTGAGTTTCATTCAAAGATCATCGACTTTTTGTTTAAGAAACAAAATCAATGTCATAAATGAATATTCAATACGAAGATCTTGAAAATATTATTCAAACTTAGTCTCCATATGAAACAATCCACTGAAATACTTTTGTATTTTGATCAAAAAAAATGAAAATAAGATATCTCAAATTTCATTTCAATAAAATGAAGATTTGTAATGAAAACAAGACAAAAAAAGAAAATTAAAGTAAATCACTGCATTTTATCTGATTAATTATTGTAATACAGAAGATTTCCGTAATTGAGATAGAAAATTTTGTCGTTGTTCATTGCCATTCATACCAGTCGATTTTTGTTTTGTTGATGTAGATGAATTTCGTCTTGTCCATCCAATCATCATTGATTTTGGTACATATGCTAATGTTTCTTCGTTTTGATGAGATTCTTTATAAATCGATGAAGCAAGTAAAGGAGTTGATGATTCCTCTTGAACAACGGTTGCTGATGGTGGTGGTGGGGGTGGAGAACAAGCACATTGACTACTGTCACTTGTACTTGTTGTTGTTACTCCTCGAGATAGAAGTAATGATCGTGAAAAAGTAGCATAAGGTACAGAACAGACACTAGGTCGATGGTATAATTGATGTTGACGATGACATACTGCTGAAGGATGATGATGATAATGATGATGATGACGACTCATTGTCAAGAAACATTCAGGTATACATTCATATTGATGATTTTGTGAGTTATCAACACCACCGGCATTGCTTAATATTGATGGAAAATCAGCACTATTAGTTGAATTTACAATATGCTGAGAAGAAATGGCAGATGGAAGAGGTGCTTCTGTCATAGGAATTAACTGATGAGAATAATAATCATCACAACAATTGAACGTATTTGGCGTATACTAAAAAAAAAATAACAAATATTTTAAATTTATCTTTTCTTGTATGATAGGATCGAATTACATTCATAAAAATCTTATTTTTTTTTTATCATTTAGATTATAGACAGTCATGAACACTTGACAAAGCCTGAAGATCAAAAGATAAATCAATTTCCATTATTGATAGATCGAAGTTTTCGGATGTAAAGTCAACATTTTTCGTAGAAATTACTGGAAAACGATAGTTATCTTAATGTTGAAGATATTACATTCCTCTTGAACTCCCTTGAGTCAAACCAGTCTTACGTACATATTCATTGAATAATCTCCAATCCTATTTGATGACAACTGTTCATATATAATATATTAATACATAGGATAATGATATTTTCGATTCAAAAATAGTTTAAATATATCTATTTGAATAGAGTTAATTTCAATCACTTCCAGAGAGCTTGATGGAAGTAAGAAAAAACTCGAAACAGATCAAGTCAATGAAACTAC